TAAACAGTGAATAGAAAAATGTTTAAAGCCAATGTATCAGGTTGATCAAACTCCATCTGAATGTATTTGAGATATGTATATTACCCATGTTCTGTCAAATCCCAATGATTAAATATCAAATTATACCTAAAAAAGATTTGAACTTGTTGTAATTTCTCTTGTCCAACTCCATTCAAATTATTTTTAAATGATTTATTCCATTTCTAGCTCTTTCATGGCTGGATAAAAAAAATTGAAAAATCATAAATACATGTTATAAAAATGAATAATATATGCCTTATTTTTATAAGTTAAAATATTGGTTTCTCATCATATAAAAATAGAAATTAAAAAAAAAAATCCCCAAGCTGAGTGTACTGAACACAGGTAAGCAATAAAGAGGGCCATTACTGTTATTTCTCTTAAGCCAGATATGCAAAAACATATGTAGTTAAACTGAGAAGCACAAACACGTGCTTATTAAATAAATATTAATAAATACCTACTGTATGCCCATCAGTTGCTGGGTGCAGAGGATATATTATTGAACAAGATAAATTCTGCTCTCATGGTGCTTATGGTCTGAAAGGCAGGATTCACATTAAGAAATAATTACTCAAATTACTATATAATTACTACCACAACAAGGGCTATGAAAGAAAAGTTGAGATGCTATAAAAATATAAATACAGTGTATAGAAGTGGGTAATTTCCTCCGAAGAATTAGAGAAGGCTGTCTCAGGGAAGTGACATTTAAATTAAGATCTAATGTCAACAAGACACATTTGTAGGGTTGGCACCAGTGGAATATAGTGAAGTGATTTAAATGTATAGATAAAACCACACAAAACATCTCATTTTAGCCGAAAACATTTTTTTAAGCTTTTGGGGTTGTTTTTTTGTTGTTGCTCTTTTTTTTTTCCAGCATATTATAGGAGTACAGATTTTAAGGTTTCAATAAATACCATTTCTCCCTTCCCCCCCCCCACAAGTCTGAGAGCTGGAAACATTTTTATTTGAAAACAATAGAAGAAAACTTTCTAAGAGTCCTTGCAGTTTGAAACTATTGTTGTAGGGTATTACTGGGTTGTTAAATTCAATATAAAAATTATGAAAATTCTATTTAGTGAAATACATGAAAATGGATTAATTTGTTACAAATTGAGAAGTGTGTTTTAAAAGCTAGAATTTAAAAAATTAACCTTACTAAATCTTAGGCTTCTACAATGTGACTTACAACATGGAAATGGACACAGTCTTATTTGCTTTGGAGAGTTTTGTTTTTTTTTTTAAATTTGTTTATATTTGTAGGCATCGTTGTGAAGTGGAAAGAACATTGAATCAGATGTCAGGAGGTCTGGGTTCTATTTCTGACCTTGATTCCTTCACTGGGGAGCAAGGCATTGAAACTACAGTTTCCTCTTTTGTAAAAGGGGATATTCCTTACAAAAGCCTTGAGTTACAGAAGCTTAGTAGAGAAGCACATTTAGCTCAGGAGATGATAGTGTGCATTGGGGGCAGAAAGTTCCTGAAACCTCATTCTTCTTTCACCTAAACACCTGTTTGCTCTTCTTTTCTGGCTTGATGACAATAAAAGACCAGAAGTCTCATTACTTTAAGATTGGAAGGAAAGAAAGACAAAGCAAAGACAGACCAGTAGCTTTTGGTGACAATAATGGAAACAAATAACTAGGAAGAGCAAAAGTTAACTTGAGATTAAACAGGAAATAATGGGAATTGAATATTGACCACCTCAAGTGACACAGGAGCCTTCTTTCTTCTCCGTGGTGCTTGAGGTCTTGTTGGTAGAAATAATCACACTACTATGAGAACTAACGAAACTGCTCCTCATTTTCTCAAAATTTCACTTTCTCCATCTTGTTCTTCTTCCTAAGCAGCTCTCTGCCTTTTTTCATCCCATTCCCCTTTCTTTTTTTTCCCTTGTCTCTTTTTTGTTTCCCTTTTTTCTTGCTACTCTTTTCCCCCTACTTATTTTCTATTTATTTATTTTTGAGACAGAGTCTCACTGTGTTGCCCAGGCTAGAGTGCCATGGCATCAGCCCAGCTCACAGCAACTTCAAACTCCTGGGTTCAAGCGACCCTCCTACCTCAGCCTCCCAAGTAGCTGGGACTACAGGCATGTGCTACCATGCCCGGCTAATTTTTTTCTATATATTTTTAGTTGGCCAATTAATTTGTTTCTATTTATAGTAGAGACGGGGTCTCGCTCTTGCTCATGCTGGTCTCGAACTCCTGACCTTGAGCAATCTGCCCACCTCGGCCTCCCACAGTGCTAGGATTACAGGCGTGAGCCACCGCACCCAGCCCCCCTCATTTTCCTTTCCCCTTTCTATTGCTTCATCCCACAAGAACACAATCATTAATTAAAACCCTTAATAAACAACCAAAGCAAAACTATATTGTAATAAAAGCCTTAAAAATTATAATCAGTTGTTATACTAACATAGTACAGAAGCAGACTTGCCAAGAAATAACATCGAGGGTTCCTTCTTCATGTCGTCCAGTACTACTTGTAGGTTTGCCATTTGGAAGACAGTAGTAGCCTACTACGTGCATGTTTGTACTTATAATTTTTTTAAGGGAAAATATATAAAGAATAAGCATTTCATTTATGTTCAATGTATAGGTCATTCTGAGCTAAACATACCATGCTCTGATATTGTAAGATAATTTTATTATCACTTTGTAGGTGGGCTCTTCAAAGAAATTACTTGTTGATCTATAATGCTTGTTATTATGGAGATAAAAAAAATAAGTGAATAAATCTGAAGGAAAAAAAGCAGAAGATTGCTGTCTTAGGCCATTTTGTGCTGCTATAACAGAATACTTGAGATTACATAATTTACAATGAACAGAAATTTATTGGCTACACGGTCTTAGAGGCTGGGAAGTCCAAGATCAAGAGACTGTGTCTGGTGGGGGCCTTCTTGCTACATCATTCCATGACTGAAGGCAGAAGGGCAAGAGAGAGAGAGAAGGGAAGGGGGCCAGACTCCTCGTATTGTCAGGAAACTACTCCCTCAATAACAAGATTAATCCACTGATGAGGGTAGAGCCCTCATAACCTAATCATCTCTTAAGGTCCCATCTCTCCACACTGTTGCATTGGGGATTGGGTTTCCAACACGTGAACTTTGGCAGACTCATTCAAACCAAAGCAATTGCCTTAGATTTTGTGGAACTAACTAGGGGACTTTTTTAACTTCAAAACTAAAAAAAAAATGAATTATTTTTGGTGAAATTATTTATACTGAACATTATGTTTGCAAATAAGATAACCAAATGTCATTATTTCCGAGACATTACTAATACCTAAATCCTACAGCAAGGAAATTCTTTAGCATCTCCACTGATTTTTCACTGCATGGTCTTCTAGCCAAGCATCTTGGAACAGACTAGAAGAGGGGGAAGCTATTCTTTACAAATGCCGGAATCAAAGGTGTTGGCAATAAAATAAGGACATAATGAAATTCTCTCTGATATTATTCTTTCGGTTGGAAATGATTTTTCAGAATTTGTGTCAGTGGATAGTGATGGGGTTCAAGACACGCTACCCCAAAATATGGCCCCATGGCATTTAAAAAAATAGCAGAAGCAGAAAGGTCTTTCTGACCTTGCCCTACCATTAGCCCTGCAGCAGCCCATAAAAGAATTCTCTGAACTTCCTGGAAAGCAGGTCATAAGGCACCCCAGTGAGAGGTGCCTTCCATTGACCCAAAGGAAAGGAATGTCCTTATCTCTGAAGACACAGGGACACAAAGAATCTGAACAAACAGGCGTTGCTAAGTTTCTCCTGGTTTATTACCATTAGCTCTTACCTGCTGTGTCTTATCATACTTCTCTACAACTATGCATTTTTTCATCAAACTTATCATTAGTGGGTCTTCATTTCTGAAGGCTCTTACATCACATTAAACTTAAATAAATTTGTATGTTTTTCTCTTGGTAATCTGTCTTTTGTGATAGGTGCCTGCATCACACCCGGAGCCATGAGTGGGAAAAGAAATCTTTTCTTGTGCACGACAGGATGGTTGGCCAAGTTGAATTCTTACGGATCGGCTAGGGTTGGGTTAGAAAGGAAGCCACTTAGAACAAATGAAGGAAGTTATGAAACCTCTGGCTTTCTTGACTAAAGCTTCCCATTTACTCCTCTGTTAACTTAATATGAGAGAGAGCTAATGAAACAAATTTTAATAACATGAGAACGCAAAATTGTTTCCATTTTCAACCCTTTGATAAATAAAAGCTAACATACTACTAATAAACTGATAGCATGTGTATGCACAAAAGAAAACAGTCCGTTTTATTAATCTTATAGAGAAATATTAATAAAGTCAACAAACTTGCAAAAGGATGAAAAAATTTTTTTCTGGTGTTCATTTCAAAAATCCAAGGGAGAATGTTGATGCTTTGGGAAGTTATCCCACAGAGATTGGGTTATAGGTTAGTCTTTCTTCAACCATCTCAGAAAAAAAAAAAAAAAAAAGCTGGAGTCCTTTCTCTGAAATCTGGAAAAACAGGAAAAATCTGTATTTGTGTTTTGCCAGTATTCAAGTCTAAAGGATTTGTGTTGTGACAGATAGCACACCCAGGTGGGTCAACAGTTGCTTAGTAGGTTGCTGCCTAAATTTCAGCAAGGGGCTTGGAAATTTCTCTCAAAATGAAAGATAATAATTTAAAATGCTGTTCATATAGGTCAACTACAATCTTAGAAATTGTATATCTTCATACCAGTGTTTTGGTAATAGAAAGGAACAGAAATTATTAGAAACTTTGACAAGGAAGAATCTGAAACTAAGCCCTTATTAGTACGTTTCCCACCCAGGGCTGGGGAAGGTGTGTTAGGGAGACCCTAGATCACTTGCTGAAGTTATCACCCTACAAGGGAAGAGTCCCTCTGGTTACCCCAACAGGAAGAGGCTTAACTCCATGGATCTTTTTTTACTCTGATTCCATACCTTTTGAGCAAACTTCTAACCTAAATTTTATTTTCCAATTAGACCTTCCTGGAAGTAAGATGACCCGAAGATTCAGATTGCTTCACCAGTATCCTTTTAGTGTAAATTAACAGATTGAACTTCTGTTTTGTTTTGTTTTTTAATCAGCTTCTAGCAAGCTTTATTTTTTAACACGAACGAGTCCTTGAGAGCCTGTCTATTCAAGTAGGTGAACTAATAAATGTGAATTTCTGAACATCTTCATTTAAAAATGGATGGACCCTCACAAAGATTTATTTCCCTGAGAGTTTCAATTTGGTTTTTCTCTTTTTTGTTTTCATATGCAAGTGCAGATCTAAGAGAGTTTCAATTTGAAACAAACAAAAAAAAACAACTACCAAACATTCTCTTTTTATCAACTCTTTAACTGCAATGTGCATGAACTAAAACTCACATTTTGTCATTTCACCTGAAAAGTAGTTTGTGAAATCTTGTCCTGTATAATATTTATTGTTACCTAAGTGGACACATAGGTGCTACAGTAATAGGGTATTGGGCAGGGGGGAGGAGGGAGGGGGGCAGGTATATACATACATAATGAGTGAGATGTGCACCATCTGGGGATGGTCATGATGAACTCAGACTGTGGGGGGAGGGGAATGGCATTTATTGAAACCTTAAAATTTGTACCCCAACAATATCCGAAATAAAAAATATATTTATCGTTGTTTAAAACTATGTATAACATTTTATTTTAAATTATATTAATGATGGCAATTATTGAAGCTGGGTAATAAATACACTGAATATTCACTACATTATTATTTTTAAATTCCATAATAAAAAAAGTAAAACAACAACAACAAAAAGCAAACAAATAGACATAACAGGAGATTTAAAATCCATCTCCAAAGAGCTTTCTAAAACAGAGGTAATGTGATTTGTTCTCTGCCTGGATTTTCAGTGTATTTGTATCCATAGCAAGCACAACTTTAGCTCAAATTACTGGGGCAGAGCTATCAGGATCCACCAGCTCTGCCCCTGGCTCTACCCTATCTCTTTGCCAGAAGGCACTATATTTGGATCTGTGCATAACAGTTGATACTTTGGCTCAAGTTGTAACAACCAACTCATTTCTTTTCCAGGAGGGATTGATACTTCTTACTCCTTGCTGATTATATTGAAATGTTTGTGAAATATACAAGATTTTGCTTTTTCCTTGGGAATGTTTCTGCCCCCTTGATCAAAGAACTAGAACCTCTTCTTGTACACTAACATCGCCCTCTATCCCCTTGTTTGCCAAAAGGATCTCTTGTTCCAAATTTATTAATATATATGTTTCTGTCTTTGGCCACAAGCACATTAGTGTTGTAGAGTCTAAGTTCTGAAATTATAGCACACTGATTTAATTGTCATTACATATATAAATTTAACAGTATAAATTTCTAAATAAATGTAATGAATAATATAAGTAATATAATTTATAAGTAGTATAAAACTATATTAAATATAAAAAAATACAAGAATTTGTCTTTAGGTTTTTTTCCCCCCCTGAAGATTAAATTCTACACAGAGAGATTTATCACCCTATGTATTTCATTTAAAAAGATGTGCAATTAATGTTAATTTGGAAAATGTATTTATTTTGCCTTTATTTTTCATAGTACTTTTTTGTATAATTTTAGCTAGTGTGTTCAAGGTGTTTGTTTAAAAGGTTACAAAGCTTTTTAATGCTTTTAAATTCTGAGAAGCAGCAGGCATCAAACTTTGGCCTGAATATAGTTTAGAAAATATTTTGTCATGTGGAATAATCAGATCATAAAAATATTTATGGATTCCAGTTTCATATCTTAGATATTTAAAAAATGTCGTCCTTGCTTTCTGCACCAGTTAACCTTTTCACAGCTGAGAGAAAGTGGCTTTGAGAAATTTCCCAGAATTAATCTTATGAAATGAAATGCCAATAGGTATGTGTATATTACACAGACTGACAGAATTTGATGTGATATACATTAGATGCTATCAGTGGAATTAAGTCTAATTTTGGTATACGTTATTGGTTCACATTCATTCTCTCATATTATTCCTTAGACAATTCTAAGCTTTAATCAGATTTTTCATGAATTGATTAATCACTCTTAGGACCACATCCCTTACGTTTTGGCTAGGAATGACATGCCTTCATGCATTCCACTACAGCTACAAATGTGAGTACCTTCCAACCAAAATATCAATTTCCTCGTTTTTCCCAGAGTATGCAAATGAATTTTAAAAACACTTAGTAGAGGTTCTATCTTTTGGGTGGAGAGATTTTACTATAAATAACGCATATTAAGATTGGATTTCCTCAAGGATCTTTCCAATCCAAAAAATACAACTTAAGGCCTTATTTGTACACTCGCCTTGTTAGTAATTACGTCCTCATAACTCCCTCATTGATGGAAAGATATGTGGAAAAGCATGAGAAATTCTAAACCCAGACATGTGAAAGACTAATAAATCAGCAGAGATTAGATCAATGGTTTAGGACAAACACCATACTTAAAGACATTGAGATTTAAAAGCCAGCTAATTTAAAATTAATTTGGGACTAACATAAGTTTATATTATCATGATGAATTTAGGCAATTTATGTAGTTTTAAAAAGATCCGTGTCATTTTTTTTTTTTCCAGACAGAGTCTCGCTCTGTTGCCTGCCTAGGCTAGAGTGCAGTGGCGTCAGCCTAGCTCACAATAACCTCAAACTCCTGGGCTCAAGAAATCCTCCTGCCTCAGCCTCCTGAATAGCTGGGACTATAGGCATGCACCGTTATGCCTGGCTAATTTTTTCTATATATTTTTAGTTGGCCAATTAGTATTTTTCTCTTTTTAGTAGAGATGGGGTCTTGCTCTTGCTCAGGCTGGTTTCGAACTCCTGACCTTGAATAATCCTCCCACCTCGGCCTCCCAGAGTGCTAAGATTACAGGCATGAGCCACCGGGCCTGGCTGATCGGTGTCATTTTATTATCATTATATATAATATATATTCCAAATATGAAATATAGAGAATTACAAAGTGAAAAAATGAATGGCTTCATAATCTCATCTCCCAAAGATAGCTAATGCATATGCATATATTTTTCTATATCTACATAGAGTTTCTACATATACAGAGAGTTTGGGGCATGGTAAACACTCACTAAATAAGAGCACATAGCATTTTAGTGATACATGCCAAAGTGTTGATGGTTAAAAGAATCATCCACAATGTGTCCGTCAGAGGCCCAAGAGGAAACAGATGGTAGACTCCAATGAGTTTAATTGAAAATAATTTAATAAGGGATTCTTTATAATGGTATGGGCAGGGAATCTTCTCCAAAAATGACTTACCACCTTTTATAAGTAAGATCTTTCTAAGTAAGCACTCTCACAGTGAGCATTTTAAATGTTCTTTTTCCACATTTGCCTTAACCCATTAGTAGAAACGTGCAAGACATGACGATGAGTACATGCCAAGCTAACAATCTTTTTATTTACCTCTTTTTGGTTTCCTAGTCCAGTGCTCAACTTTTTACATCAAGGCAAACTTGGAAACTGGGAAAACGCATGAGGGTTCTAACCGTGGTCTGCCCCACCTCCCAGGTTGAGAAGATTAATTTCTTGGCAAAAATTTTAGTGGAAAATTCCAGAAATGAACAATTCATAAATTTTAAATTGTGTGCTGTTCTGAGTAGCGTGATGACATTTCATGCTGTCCTGTTCCTTCCCACCTGGGACATAAATCATCCCTTTGCCCAGCCTACCTGCATGGTCTAAGTTAAGCTACTCACTGTTGGTCACTTAGTAGCCACCTCAGTTAACAGATTGACTGTGGCAGTATCACAGTGCTTACGTACAAGTGACCCTTATTTTACTCAACGATGGCCTCAATGTGCAAGAGTAGTGATGCTAGGAGTTCAGATATGCTAAAGAGAAGCTGTGAATTCCTTCCTTCAAATGAAAAGACGAGAGTTCTCCACTTAATATGGAAAGGAGAAAAATCATATGCTGAGATTGCTAAGATCTATGGTAAGAATGAATCTTCTATCCATGAAATCGTCAAGCAGGAAAAGAAATTTGTGCATAGTATATATGATTCAGTACTACTATGGTTCCAGACACCTACGGGGGTCTTGGTATCCCACTTGGTGTTTCCCGCAGTTAAGTGGGGACTACTGTCATGTCTTCACATACCAAACCTTTTCAATTATTGACTCATTTTTTTATTTCCATCTTATCTCCAAAATTAGTCTCACACATTCTCTCTTCTCTCAACCAGCTACCAGACACCTCAATGAATTGACTCAATCTGAGTAAAACATGGGACTGGCTAAACCTTGATCTTATCATGAGGAATTTTCCTCCCTTTCTGAAATGCCAAACTTGGATGGAGCTCCCCAATGCTTTTTTCAGTGCCTTTCCCATCTATACTTCGTATTCAGACCCCCACTTACCAACTGGTTTTTTTTTTTTCTTTCTAGAAACTTCCAGTTCCTTCAACACTTGGTCCTCTTCCTTCAATATCCGTTATTAAGAACACCTCCAAAACTCAGCCTTGAATCCCTGAAGCTAGTTTACATTTTGCCTTCTTCCTCAATTACACGCTTACTCAGTTGCTTAGGCTACTTGGATCTGCTTGTAGTCTTTCTCATCCATAGTTGCTTTCCTCTCTCTCCATGCCTGCTTTAGTTCCATCCTTCTTCCAGGACTCCTAAGTAAGCTTTATTTATTTATTTATTTATTTATTTATTTTTGTTATTTTTGTTTCTACCAAATTGACATTTCTATCCTAAGTAAGCTTTAGAATGACACTGTGTCTTCTATCTTTTCTCCTTAGATTGCCAGATGTTTCTTTCGGTATTAGAACTGCTGATCCTTCCTCTCCGTTCTAAATTTGCAACATTAACTACTCATAACTACGAGTGGTTTATTTACCTTTCAATATTAGGACTTAAAAGATAAACTGACTTAAAGTAATACAGGAACTTTTTAAAGACTGGCACTTTATAGTTTATTGGGTGCAACTGGAAAAGCTCCTCACAGCTATGCCATCTTGTAATTAAATGTTTCTGTTATTTTGGAAGTGCTACAAGAGGTTCTGAGTCATACATTGGATAATAAAATGTTAGAGCAAACATTTATACACTTAGGCAAATACTGTGCTTGGATGGAATATTCTTAAAATCTCTTCCTGCTAAATCAACTAATCTTTTGATCTCCTTTTTTTTTTTTTCCTCATACTCTACCTTTTTCCCTGGTTCTGATAAAATGAAGCTTTTAATACGGTTACCTTTGTAGTCGGTGCCTCATTGCTTAGCCCTGTGGAGTTAATGAGGCCAAGGATACTGGTTTGATTTCCCCGTGGATCAGTTTCTTCTTGTTCTGCTCGTGTGTAGTCACAGACTGTCCTTCAAACCAGGGCCAACCATTTCACAAATGTCAGTTATGAGGGAGATGGAGAGACAGAGTGGCTCGGTGGCAGTTCATTATAAAATGTCCTTCTGGTTCCAGAGTTTCATCCTCCCTCATAGACAAATAACCCAGCGTTTATTTTTTCCTTAATTTGCTGCAGCTAGCACCTCTGTGGCCCTCAATAGTGTTAATTTGCATACCTTTCCATCTTCTTTCTCTGATCTTTTTTTTGTTTGTTTGTTTGAGACAGAGTCTCACTTTGTTGCCCAGGCTAGAGTGAGTGCTGTGGCATCAGCTTAGCTCACAGCAGCCTCAATCTCCTGGACTCAAGCGATCCTCCTGCCTCAGCCTCCCGAGTAGCTGGGACTACAGGCATGCGCCACCGTGCCCAGCTAATTTTTTTCTATATCTTTTTAGTTGTCCAGCTAATTTCTTTCCATTTTTAGTAGAGATGGGGGTCTTCCTCTTACTCAGGCTGGTTTCAAACTCCTGACCTTGAGCAATCTGCCTGCCTTGACCTCCCAGAGTGCTAGGGTTACAGGTGTGAGCCACCATGCCAAGCCCTTTCTCTGATCTTTAAGCTGGATGGCCTCTTGAATTTACTGAAAGGCAGAGTGTTGTCATGAAAATAACGTGATTTTTGGAGTCAGGCCTTTTGTTCTACTACCACCACTGATTAGTTGTGTGTCCTTGGATAAATTTCTTAAGCTCTAAGTTTCTGCTTCTTCCTACTTTATATGATTGTAAGCATTAAGTGAAATAGGCCGGGTGTGGTGGCTCACACCTGTAATCCTAGCATTCTGGGAGGCTCAGGCAGGGGGATTGCTCAAGGTCAGGAGTTCGAAACCAGCCTGAGCAAGAGCAAGACCCCCATCTCTACTATAAATAGAAAGAAATTAATTGGCTAACTAATATATATAGAAAAAAAATTAGCCGGGCATGGTGGCGCATGCCTGTAGTCCAAGCTACTCGGGAGGCTGAGGCAGGAGGATCGCTTGAGCCCAGGAGTTTGAGGTTGCTGTGAGCTAGGCTGATGCCACAGTACTCACTCTAGCCTGGGCAACAAAGTGAGACTCTGTCTCAAAAAAAAAAAAAAAAAAAAAAAAGAATTAAGTGAAATAATGTACATAAAGCACCAAGAACACAGTATATGCATAACGAATGTTAAAGTTCTCTACTTGTCTTTTATGATATGTAATCAATTGGTTAGGACAGTTTGATATGGCTATCATTTATATAACACCTACTCGGTGCCCAGCATGTTTTGTAGCGCTTTATAACTATATTGTTGTGATTCCTCATGATAATATCATAAGGTTATTTATAATTATCATTTCCTTTAAGATAAAGAAAAGCGTTGCTATCTGGGATGCATGGTTTTCATCTAAGCATAGTACACAACAAATTGGGGTTACAGAGCTATTTCTAGGGAAGTAGTTTTTAAGCACTACAATTTAATAATTACCCAGGGACAGGGGAAGGAAGGTTTGCTAAAAAGGCAGATTCCAGGAGCCCCCCTACAAGCTACCCATGTCATTCAGATGCAATTGGGCCTTTGCAGGACACTTGAATAAATATCAGTCTATGCAAGATAACTTAATTTGGTTCATTTATTCTATATTCCAGGCTTTAAACTGCAGTAGGAGGAGGTTCAGAGGCAGGCTAGCATCTGTGGGCTAAAATTGAATTTGCATAAATAAGCAACAATGTGCTCATGCAATTCTTCCTCATCACCTCAAGATGCTTGTCCTCTGGTGATATCTCCATGGAAGACCTGGGTTCTTGATATCTTTAACGAATCTTTGTTGATCCAGGCTCAATGCAACTGTATCAGCAGCAAACAGATGAGGGGTGCAGAGTTGGGACTTGTATAGTGTAACTCTAGCCATGGCCCTGTGGAACTGTCACAAGCTGTAATCTCTTGTAGCCAACTTTCCTATCTGTAAATGGGGATGACATTCATCTTATAAAGTTATTGTAAGGATTACCACACCACCTAGCTCATGGTAGGTGTTTATAAATGGTAGCTATTGGTATTTATTTATTTTACTTTTGAGTGAGATGTCAAATATAATAGCATATATTAAAGCACTCTGGAAACCAGTCCTCATACTAGGAAACCCATTTTCATTCTAGGAAACCCTTTCCTCCAAAATAATCCTCTGGAAAATGTGATTAAAGCTATGAACCAGCACCACACAATGAAGATATTCTGTGAGCCACCTATGTATGTTGAAATTCTCTAGTGTCCATGTAAAAAATAAATAAATAAAAACAGGCGAAATTAATTTTAATCATGTATTTAACTAAATAAAACTATCATAATTTCAGCATGTAATCGATGAACATTATTGATATACATTATTTTTTTCATACTAAGTCTTCAAAAATCCAGTGTGCAGTTTACGCTTCCAACACGTCTCAATCTGGGCACTAAATTTTCAACGGTAAAGTGAAAAATGTAGTCCTACCAAAACAAAATCGTGTTTAACAGAAGTGTTATTCGGGGGTTCATGGCCCTCGTGAAGTTCACCCTTGCTTTCTTTATACACTCTTGGGGAAGAACTGTGCCTTTCACGTTGCATAACCCAATCTGCAAGGTGCTAAAAAGACGTCAACGACTATTCCTTTCCCTACGTTCACCGCGCATATACCCCGTTTGCTGGATGAATAATGCCTGGAGCTAAAAGGAGCACCGTCGGAGACGCGGGGGGGGAGAGGCGGGCTGCTGCATGGGACGCACACAGAGGACGTAAGGTTTGAGGTACAACCGTTCTTCCGCGCGAGTGGCAGGTCAACTTCTACACGTTGGGGTTGCAGATCTCCACCTCCCCGGCGGGAGCAGACTGCAAGGGGCCGCACTTCCCAGGGCACGCAGGGCTCTTGCAGAAACCCGGGCGGGCGGGCGGGAGCCGGCGAGCTCGCGCAGACGGGGATTTGTGCAAAGCCCCTGCTATTCTTAGCCTGAGCAACTGCGCGCCAGCTCGGTTGATGGGCAGAGACATGCACCCAGAGAAATGCACAGACGCGCGCAGCGTCGCAGCTTTGCCAGGGGCCGCCCGCGAACCCTCTCTAAGTCGGCTCCACGGAAACGGGGTGGCGCGGTTGCCTCCCCAGCGCGCGCCCCTCGGCGGCCTTCCGGCCCCTGCGCGGCCGGGCGGTGGCCAGCGCGGGGGCGTGGCCGGGCGTGGCCGGGCGCGAGAGGCGGAAGTTCCCGCGGGCGGGCGGACGGCGCACGGCCGCGACTCACTTGTCAGCGCTCGTCTGAGGCGGAGGCTGCGGCGCGCGGCCCGAGGTGAGCGGGCCGGGCCGGGGGCGCGTCTCCCTTCTCCCGCGGGGGGCGGCGGCGGCGCCGAGCGCGCCGGGGGCAGCGGCGGGGGCGGCGGGGCCGGCTCCTCAGGTGCGTCCCGGCGGCGCGGGAGCGCGGGCCACACGGCGAGCCCGAGTGCCGCAGCGGGCCGGCGGGAGCAGGCGCGCGGAGGCGACCGGGCGGCGAGGGCGCGGACCCGCGGCGGCGGCGTCGGGGCGCCCCCTGTGGCGTCGGGGCGCGCCGGTGGTGCCCGGCCCTCGGGGGCGACGCGGGGCTGCTCGGGAAAGGCGAGCCATTTATTATCTTCTCGTCGCTCTCGGACTACTGAGGGGCGACTGCGTGTCCCCAGGCACTTGCAGCTGTGTCACTGGGCAGACGCGCGTCCGGAAACGCGCGCGGAGGACGAGCCTGTCAGCGGCGCGGGTCTGATGAGACGGCGGGCGCCCGCGCGCGGCGGCGGGGACGGGGCTCGGCGGGGACTCGGCGGCGCCGCCGGGCAGGGCAGGTCCGGGTGCCACCGCCAGCTCCGGCCCGGCGAGTCCGCCTCCCCGGCCGCGGGGACGCCCCAGCCCGCGCGGGGCCTTATGAGGCAAACCCGGCCGGGCGCGAGCGTCGCCTGCAAAGCCGTGTCGCCCGCGGCTTTCGTCCTGCGCCCGTGGTGGCCTCAGCTCTTCCTCGATCCTCTCTCTATAGCTGGGAAAAAAGGGAATCTCTAGAAACTTCCCTGTAACTTCAGGTGCTCCTTGTCACCCTGTGTAGTTAGGTCATCTCGGTGCTTCTTTCTCCCCCCTCCCTGGCTCCCACCCACCAGAGACGCTGGGCTTCAAGTGTGGGAAACGACCAAGCTTCCCCCCAGTTCTCCAGGGCAAGGACACTGTTTTTAGACTTTCCCCCCAAAAGAAAGTCGGTAACTGTGCAGAAATGCCAGCATTTTCCACGTGTTTCGAAAGCAGAGTGGGCTGCTGTTTCCTGCCCGCCTGGTATTATTTTTAGGAAGGGGCACCAATAACCAGCCGGAGGAGGAGGCCTGGAAAAGGCCAGTAAAAATATTGCCATTGCTGAGGGCACAGAATGTTTTAGGGCGAATGGGTTCCCCTAGCAGGAGGAGAATCTAGAAATGAAATGACACTAACTGCAAGTGAAGTGACACTGCTTTTGACCTTGCCAGGGCTGGAAATTGCAATCGCAAGTGGGACAAGTCAGGAACGGAGTCCTCCAGTAAAGAGGAAGTTGCTAGTGCATGGGTTGATATATACACGAAAAACATTTTCTTGTAGGGAAGAGTGGGGCCGAAGGAAGTGGAGCCTAACTTTCATAATCTTCCCCTGCCACAAATTAAAGATTAAAGCAAGCGGGCAGGTTTTCTGTGATATATCAGTTGGCTTCACACACTTCTTCTGATTTGTGTTGCGTGCTAATTCAAGAACTTTTTTTTTCTACTAGTTTTATGAAAATCTTTTTGTAGCAGGAAAGCAATGAAATTGTGTAATTGTGTGTGGATCCTTATTGGCTCTCCTCTATTTGTTTTTCACCTATATGTGACAGTTTGACTTCTGGTGTGGCCTTGGGGTCTTTCTTAGTGCCCTGTGCTTCTTACTTCAATATAATGTAATATGTTACAGCCTAGTGGTTCAGTGTACTACCATGCCCGCAGAAAAGCTCATTTGGTTTCTAGGTGGATGCAGTGCATGTTTTCCCTGATTTAATTTTTTTAAAGAACCAGGCTTATTTGAAAGTTTTGCCTCATTTTCACTTTCTGAGAAGGAGGAATCTGTTTGCTTTAAATATACCCAGTGGTTTGAATAGCTACATCTGCCACTATGAATTTGGTGCGATAGGATAGAAACTTTGAATGAGTTAATAAAAAAATATTTAAAGACAGGTAATATAAGGTGGTAATTTTGTTGCACAGCTCAGATTTTTCCAAGGAAGTGTGTTTTCAAAATTATCTGTTACGTTTATAATTTTTTTTAACACATTGACTGCCACACTAGAAAAATTTTTTTTTTCCTTGGGGCCACGGTGTTTTATCATGAAAATAGAATAAAAATGCCAAAAACAAAACAATCCTTTCAGATTTAATGAAAAATTTTTATTGTTTTCTGGGCGTGAGTTATATGCAACTTGAAAAATAGTTCTTGCAGCTCCCAAGGTGAAGAGACATGTGAGCTACATAAGCTTCATGAGGCCCTGGGCTCAAAACTAGCGTGAGTTAAATACAACTCACATGGCAGTTAATGTGTTAAAGAGGAAACTATTCTGTTTCTTAGTATTACACTAAAAAACAACAACAACAGAAAACTTCATTCCTTCCAAAATAACCAGTAGTAAACTGCAAGTTAGACTTTTTTTGTGCTTTAAAAAAAAATTATATAAAACTACCATGAGAATGATTGTGAGTGCACTTACAATAAGACAGAAAAAAGAAAGCACTGAAGTGCTGGTTCTTTTCTAAAGCACCAGTTCAATTCAATTTCATGCATTAAGGTTAACCTTGTACTTCTACCACATTTAGTCATAATCTTATTCGGTGGGTGATAAATGCCTACTGTCTACTTTGCCTGATGAAATTTGTGTATAAAACAAAAAGCAGGCTCTGCCCGAAATATCACTGTGCTAGAGTATCGCCTATCATTGCCTGTCTGAAGGACAGGTAGATATTACTTTAACTGTGGAAAATTCTATGTCCTTATAAGAGGAAATATGAGTTGTAGTTCATGATTGGGAAGAACAGTTTTGTGCGTTAAAAAATAACTTACTGCTGGGCACAGTGATGTGTGCCTGTAATCCCAGCTACTTGGGAGGCTGAGGCAGGAGGAACTCAGGAGTAGAGACCAGCCTGAGCAACATAAGGAGATTCCCATCTGAAAAAATAAGACAAAACAAAACAAAACAAAATTCTCATGTTAAAGAATTTAACATTTGGAAAGCATGAATGGGAGCCAACTGATTCTCAGTCCCTTTCATATGTTAGAGTAACTTACAATTTAAGTAAGTGAAATTGAAAGACTCTTGCCCACTGCAAACAGAAGAATATGTGAGGTGAAGGGAAGGGAAAAATCATTTGGAATTCAACCTGCTATAACATCTTATTCTTTCTTATATACCTTAATAAAGTAAAGTAAAGTACTTTAGTTAAAGTACTTTAGTTAAAGTACATTAGTAAAGTACTTTAGTTAAAGTACATTAGTAAAGTACTTTGGTTAAAGTTTGAATACATGAAGCCACAAAATTGCTTTGTAGCAAGTTGTAGAACTCATCAAATGTCTCTTGACATATATTCTTTTTTTCCTTAAATGAATATATTTTTAAGTGTTGCTGGCTGCTTCCAGATTGCCCCCCAGGGAGAAGGCCTCAGAGGCTGCTGACATTGTTCCTGACAGGCAGAAATATATTCTGATATGGAATCTTTAGATGATGGAAATTGGCATGAGTATAAGAATTGTGTATTAGTTCATAGATTCCCTTTCTTAGAAGGAAATTAATAAATAACTTTGTATACACTTATCCTCTAAATGCTTTCACCTCCCCCAAAACAAAATACTAAACATAATTTAATTGGCTTTATATTAAATGCATTTTAATATGTACTAGGGTTTCAAATAAATATTTTTTGAACCATTTATTTTTTTTTTCACAGTGTCTTTCATCTCCTGGCATTGGACTTTGAGCCATTAGAATCATGAGCAACTACAGTGTGTCCTTGGTTGGCCCAGCTCCTTGGGGTTTCCGGCTGCAAGGTGGCAAGGATTTCAACATGCCTCTGACAATCTCTAGTGTAAGCAAACTTTACCACTTTTATTACAGATGTTCATTCAGTGGTTGGTCCTGGAAACCTTAGGGCTGAGTTGTTGAATTCTCTGTTGACCCTGTACTCTACTTATTATGATTGCTTGTGGGATTTAATCTCAGCAAATGTAGTTATCTATAATAAAGGATGGGAAGAGGACATTTAGCAAGGATAATTAATTTCAATTTAGCTTATTTTTCCATTTTCCTCCAGATTATCAATAATAAAATGGAAAAGCATTTAACTAGGGGTCATACTGTAAATTTTTGAACTGTCTTTAATTTGGGGAATTCTTAAACCTTAGTTTCTACCTGTGTCACTTTAGAAGGTTATGCTGTGGGATTTTAATGGTCCTTTCAGCTTCAAAAGCTGTTATTAAAACCTGTTGATCAAAATTGAATAAAATGGACCAGGTGTGGTGGCTCACTTCTGTAATCCTAGCATTTTGGGAGGCTGAAGTGGGAGCATTGCTTGAGGCCAGGAGTTTGAGACCAACCTGAGCAAGAGCAAGAGCAAGACCTCATCTCTGCCAAAAATGAAAAATTAGCTGGGTGTGGTGGCACACACCTGTAGCCCTAGCTACTTGGGAGGCTGAGACAGAAGATTCACTTGAGCGCAGGCTTTTGAGGTTGCGAGTGAGCTATGGTGGATGCCACTGATCTTTT